AATACTCAAGGTTATAAAATAAGTTAGGCTAATTTCATTTTAATTAATTTAAATATTATATACATAAGAGTAATTTACACAAAATTATAGGAGAGCAAGTTCTTCTCAAAAGCTTTTCAAAATAACAAAAGCCAAATCATCGTTTTGGTAACACATTAATCTGCCTCCATATCAAAAGTATGAGGCCTTAGCTTCTACGTACAATTAGCATATGGGACCTATATCGAAGCTCCCCAATTGGTGATTGCTACTTCAATCTACAGCTATGAAATGGGGGAAATATCATGAGCTAAAAACCTAGTAAGTATTAAGTTTAAATTACAAACTTGGGTCTTAAGACCCCTAGTCCTATACACATGAAGGGCATAAGAGACAATGGAACCAAGTCACATAGTATTATACATCTCAGTATTTAAATAATAATTTAATATCCCAAATCAAAATTAAACATATCAAGAAATAACCAATAACATTTAAATCAAATTCATATTGTGAAATCATAGTCACAAATGTGCTTCACAAGTATAATGCATAAAACAAAAAATCATACAATACTATAGAGCTAATCATGACACTCACCTTACTGCGTAGAGGTCCACTAAATACCCTAGAAGGTCCACTAAATATCCTAAGCTTTAAGTTTAAGTCCACTAATTCTATAACCACAAATACATACAAATGTAAAATAAATTCAAAACACATTCAAAATAATATACGAATATTATTTCATTTAATATTCTACCTAGTCAGTGCATTCTAAAAAGATTTACATTAATATCTACATGCATAACTCACATATTCCACAAGGTTTCCTACTCAAAATAATTAAAGTCTAGTGCATGAATAGTAATTGATAAAGAAAAACTAGTTTTATTCCAAGTTCACAGATTCACGCACAGTCCTAGCAAGGTCTAATTAATTATATAAATTATTATTAAATCATGCAAGGGAGACAAACAACAACAGTAACATTAATTAATAAAATTTACACTAAACTCAAGTATGAATAATAAAACTCATTATGGATTTTATCCCATTCAAGTCCCAAAAATATCAAATATTTCTAACAAACTTTTAATGCCCCAAAACTCTCTTAATTGGGTTTGAGGCCAAATCTCACTAATTTAAACTAATTTTTAGTATATTGTAACGAATTTATAACCTACCCAAAATTCTAAACCAAATCCATAGCTAAAACTTATACTTACTTGAAAATCAAAGCACCAAATTGAAGAGAACAGTAGAAATTGAAAGGGATTTCAAATGAAGAGTGCATCCTTACATCTCACTCTTGGTTCGAAAAAGAAGGAAGAAAGACACAGGGGAACTGACTGGAAGAAGAAGGACATCGGGGAAATGGAGGGTTCTTGAGACTTATTTTAAGTCTAGTAGAATGGTTCTCGGTTAGCATAATGCCATGTGGCAAAGAAAAATGGAATAATTGAGTTAAGGCCCTTCAACTCTTACTAAGTTCTACTTAAAACCCCCAAACTTTAAATCTACTCAATTTAATCCCTAAAACTATAAAATAAAAGAACTCAAAATTTTAATCTATTTATTAAAGTATATGGGGTGTTAGATCCTCCCCACCTTAAAAGGATTTGGTCCACCAAATCATTAAGCTTATCGAAATAGATGTGGATATTGCTCCTTCATCTGACTTACAAGCTCTCATGTAGCTTCATTGTCATTATGATGTTGCCACAACACTTTCACCAAAGGTATAGTCTTGTTCCTCAAAACTTTTTCTTTTCTATCCAAAATCTATATTGACTATTCAGTGTAACTCAAATCTTTCTTCAACTCCAATAGTTCATAATTAATGACATGTGAAGGATCCGACTCATATTTCCTCAAAACTGACACTTGAAATACATTATGCACATTTGACAATTTTGGAGGCAATGTAATTTTGTAAGCGACTTCACCCACTCTTTCAATAATCTTAAATGGGCTAATATATCTTGGACTAAGCTTTCCTTTTAAACCAAACCTATACACTCCCTTGGTTGGTGACACTTTCAAATATACATGATCTCCAACTTCAAATTCCAAAGGTCTCTTCTATTATCTACATACCTCTTTTATCTATCTTGAGCCACTTTGAGCCTCTGTTGAATCATTTCTATTTTTCTATTGTTTGTTGCACAAAATCCAACCCCATTAGTCGTCCATAATTGACTTTTACCAAAAAAATTGGAGTTCTACATCTCCTGCCATAAAGAGCTTCATAAGGTGTCATCTTAATACTGGAATGATAGCTATTATTATAAGCAAACTCTGCCAATGGAAAATGATCATCCCAACTCTCAGGCAAATCTAGTGCACAAGCTCTTAGCATGTCTGCAAGCACTTGACTAGTCCTTTCACACTGCCCATCAATTGGTGGGTGGTATGTTGTGCTTAATTTCAATTGAGTGTCCATGGCTTTTCAGAAAGATCTCTAAAATCTTGTAGTAAACCTTGGATTTTTGTTTGATACAATGCTCACTAGAACTTCGCGAAGTTTAACAATCTCCCAAATATAAAGCATGGCCAACTTGTCCAATGGGTCTTTTTGTTTTGTGGCCAAAAAGTGAGCTGACTTTGTCAATCTGTCCACAATCACCCAAATTGCATCAAATTGCCTTCTTGTCCTTAGCAATCCCAATGAAGTCCATTGGAATGGCTTCCCACTTCCACTCTGGTATAGGCAAAGGTTAAAGTTGCTCTCCTAGCTTCTAGTGCTCTACTTTTACCACTTGACAAGTCAAGCACTTGGGCACATATTTAGCCACATCCTTCTTCATGCTTTTCCACTAGAATGTTTCTTTTAAGTCATGATACGTTTTGGTACTCCTAGGATGAATGGTGTAATTGCACTTGTGTGCTTCTTGGAGTAATTTTGTCCTTGGCCCTTCATCATATGGAACACAAATTCTATCTTTAAGTCTTATAATTCCATCATCCGAAATATGAAGACCCATTTTGGAGCTCTTCTCATTGTCTTTCATCAACTCCATCTATCTTGAATTGTTTTGTTGTGCTTCCTTGATCCTTGACAGCAATGTAGGCTGAACCATCAAGCTAGACACTAGTACATCAGACTTTGGTGACAAAAATCTGACATTCAAATCCTTAAATTCTTTTAAGAGTTTCCACTCCACCATTAAGCTTATTAAGGTGCCAATTGATTTTCTACTAAGTGCATCTACAACCCCATTTCCCTTTTTAGGTTGATAGACAATTTTGCATCTATAGTCATTCAGATACTCCACCCATCTTCTTTGTCTTAAGTTGAACTCTTTTTGTGAAAATAAATATTTCAAGCTTTGGTGATCAATGCGCACCTCAAACTCTTCTCCATACAAATAATGTCTGCATAACTTAAGTGCAAAAATTATAGCAGCAAGTTCTACATCAAGTGTAAGGTAGTTCCTCTCATGTGTCTTGAGTTGTCTGGACCCATAAGCTATCACCCGTCCATGTTGCATAAGTATACAACCCAAGCCTTTGTGAGAAGCATTGGTATATACCAAAAAGTTTCCTCCATTGTTAGGAATAGCAAGAATTGTTTTTGTGACCAATTTGTTCTTCAGCTCTTGAAAGCTTTGCTCACATTAACCTGTCCATTCAAACTTCTTATTCTTACAAGTAAGTTGTGTTAACGGACTAGAAATCTTTGAATATCCCTCCACAAACCTTCTATAATATCCTGTTAGCCCAAGAAAGCTTTACACTTCGGTGACACTAGTCGGCCTTTCCTACTTCACAATTGCTTCCACTTTACTAGGATCAACTGATATGCCACCTTTAGAAACAATAAGACTTAGAAAACTAATCTGATTCAGCCAAAATTCACACTTATCAAACTTGGCATACAACTTCTTTTCTCTCAAAATCTGCAATACAATGGCAAGATGCTCCTTATCGCTCTCTTCATCAGGAGAAAAGATAAGAATGTCATCAATGAAGACAATGACAAACTTATCTAAGTACAGTTGAAAGATCCTATTCATAAGATTTATAAAAGCTGCAAGGGCATTGGTTAAACCAAACAACATTACCAACAACTCATAATGCCCATATTTGCTTTTAAAAGCAGTCTTCATCACATCCTCGGGTTTAACGATAGTAACTCGATCTAAGATCAATTTTAAAAAGATACGAGTCCTTTGTAACTAGTCAAACAAATCACCAATTCTTGGCAAGGGATATTTGTTTTTGACAATGACTTGATTCAACCATTTATAGTCAATGCCTAATCTAAGTGAGCCATCTTTCCTCTTCACAAAAAGAACCGGAGTACCCCAAGGAGAAGTACTAAGTCTGATAAACCCTTTATCAAGAAACTCTTGTAATTGCTTGTTCAACTCAATTAATTCTCCTGGAGCCATTCTATAGGGTTACTGGGATATTGGTGAAGTACTAGGCACAAGGTCTATAATAAATTCAATCTCCTTATTTGGAGGTAACCCAGGAGACTCCTTAGGGAAAACGTCAAGAAAGTCTTCCACTACTTGAATTCCTTCTACAGACACTAGCTTGTCTTTAGACTCAAAAACATATGCTAGATATCCATAACATTCATGCTACAACATTTTATCAACTAGCATGCAAGAAACAAGTAATGGAAATTATCCAAGTTTTTCTCCTTGAAACTGAATCACTGACTGGTTAGGAATGGAAAAGATAACCACCTTCTCGTAAAAATCAATCATGGCATAATGGGTAGACAACCAATCCATACTAAGTATGATATCAAATTCCACTATTCCTAACAAAATCAAATTGACAAGCAAAACTCTACCCTCTACCATAACTCTATATGATCTATAAATGGTTCTTGATGTTAAAACCTCCTTAAAAGGAGTATTCACCACAAGCACACAATCAAGGGTCTCAAGCTCCACATGCAAAAATGACACCTACTTAGGTGACACAAATGAGTGGGTAGATCCAGAGTCAAACAACACATAGGCATTCCCAAAAAAGATAGGTATTTTACCTGTTATAACTATAGGAATGTTTTGGGCTTATTGTTCTGTGATAGCAAAAACTCTTCCTTAGACCCTTGGTTTCTTATTATCTTGCTCTTTCGGCTACTAACTTGCTCCCTTGAGAATCGAGCAATCCTTGATCAAGTTGCCAATCTTCCCACACTTGAAACATGCCCCAGTCTCCTAGTAGCATTCCTTCCCTCCATGATTCTTACCGCACCTCTTGCAAGCAAAACACCAAATTAAAGAGAATAGTAGAAATTAATAGCAGATGTTAAAGAAGAAGGTCAATAGTTGGTCTACTCTATGCTGCAACATTTTATCAGCTAGCATGCAAGAAACAAGTAATGGAAATTATCCAAGTTTTTCTCCTTGAAACCGAATCATCGACTGGTTAGGAATGGAAAAGATAACCACCTTCTCATAACAATCAATCATGGCATAATGGGTAGACAACCAATCCATACTAAGTATGACATCAAATTCCACTATTCCTAACAAATCAAATCGACAAGCAAAACTCTATCCTCTACCATAACTCTATAGGATCTATAAATGGTTCTTGATGTTAAAACCTCCTTAAAAGGACTATTCACCACAAGCACACAATCAAGGGTCTTAAACTCCACATGCAAAAATGACACCTACTTATAGGTGACACAAATGAGTGGGTAGATCTAGAGTCAAACAACACATAGGCATTCCCAAAAAAGATAGGTATTTTACCTGTTATAACTGTAAGAATGTTTTGAACTTATTGTCTTGTGATAGCAAAAACTTTTCCTTAGACCCTTGGTTTCTTAGTATCTTGCTCTTTTGGCTGCTAACTTGCTCCCTTGAGAATCGAGCAATCCTTGATCAAGTTGCCAATCTTCCCACACTTGAAACATGCCCCAATCTGCTAATAGCATTCCTTCCCTCCATGACTCTTACCGCACCTCTTGCAAGCAAAACACCAAATTAAAGAGAATAGTAGAAATTAATAGCAGATGTTAAAGAAGAAGGTCAATAGTTAGTCTGCTCTATGCTGCAATCTACAAAAAAATCTCATCTCTTAATAGAAGCTAAAAAGAGTAAAAGGAAATTGGTTTTCAAGAGTTTAAGTCAAAAAGGGATTTCAACTAGAGAGTGAGTCCCCACACTTCACACTCAATTGGAAAAGAAGGACAGGTGCAAAGGATAGCTGGAATAAAGAGGAAGCATGCAAAGGAACGGTTTTTGGTTTTTGAATCTTCTAAAGGAAGTTTATAGGTTTGTAAGGCATTTTTAAGTCCAAGCTTTGGTAAATATTGGGCCACATGGCACAAAAATTGGGATAATGGAGTCAAACATCCCTCAACTTCTACTAAATTCTACTTACAACCCTCAAACTCTAAATCTAATCAATTTAATCCTTAAAATTATAAAATAAAGTACTCTAATTTTTACTCTATTCACTAAAGTATATGGGGTGTTACAATTTCTTTTTGATGTAGTAGCTATCTTTGGTTGCTTAATTGTACATTGACAATTTTATTGGATAAATAATATTTCACATTTTATCAAAAAAAAAAAAAAAAAAGAGTCTTTCAACCTTCTCTTTTAATCTATACTATTTTCTTCCACTTAGTTTTATTTTTCTACAATTTCTCTTCTTTCTCATAATGATTTTATCTCTATTTCTACCTTTTCTCATGGATTAAAATCAAAGGGGAAAAAAAAATTCAGTGGTAAAACTAACCATGGATTGTGTGCTTGATTTCTAGGTAAGGCAATTAGCTCCTTTTGTCGATGTTGTGATGTAGAGTTGGCAAAGTATGCTTTTGCAGCACAGATCTATAAGAAGAACATGGATCATGCACTGTAAATCCAAGGAAAACCAAATAGAAAACCATCAAAATCTATCGAGAAACTTGCAAAATTATCGTCAATGGCATGGGGATTTGGAGAGCAAGACGTGCGTGGGTTAGCTACTCAAGGTAGCATGAATGGCAAAAGCTAACCTTGCTAGAGAAGAAAGTAGATCAGGAGGAAAAATAGAAGAAAATAAGGAAAGTGAGGAATAATAGGGAATCTTGACCAAGCATAACCAACAACTAAAGTTGTTGGTTATGACAAAAATAAATAATACACTATCGTTTTTCTTTTTAATCGACAACAATTTTGTCGAATATCTTGAAAATATAACTGACTGCAAATAGGCTGTCAATTATACCAATTCTTGTCGACTATGTGAATATAATCGACAAAAACAGGTTGATTATAATTATGGTCAGTTAACCCAATAAATACAAAGATAATTAACAAGCAATCATAATTGACAAAATTTATGTTGATTATATAACTATAATTGACAGAAATTTTGCTGTCAATTATAATATTGTTTCTTATACCTTGTTTTCTAATAGTGTTGGCATTAAAAATTAGGTTATCCTCATTCAAAAATTTTGAATTTTCTTAAAAATAAAAATTTTATTTCCTTTGAATGTATAAAGAATAATACACCTTCTATTTGCTCAAGTTGTCAAATGGGAAAATTTTCCAAATTGCCTTTTGTTTCTAATAGTAATGAATGAAGTACATTTCCTTTCCAAAAACTACATTGTGATATTTGGGGACCTACTTCTTGTGCATCATTCCAAGTTTTTAAATTTTTTGTTACATTTGTTGATCAAAATATGTTTGGATATTTCCTTTAAACCATAAATCTGATTTTCATAAACACTTTGCTCAATTTACACAAATGGTTGAAAATCAATTTGAGTGAAAGATTAAAATATTTCAACTTGATGGTGGAGGTGAATTCAATAAAATTAAATTTCTTGATCTCTTATCTAACAAAGGCGTTGTAAGACAGGTCTTTTATTCACATACACCAGAGCAAAATGGTATGGTAGAAAGAAAGCATAGGCATATTATTGAATGGGCTCTTACACTTTTATTTCATGCTCAATGCCTTAAGAGATTATCATTGGAAGCTATTCATACTGCTGTCTTCCTCATAAATAGGTCACCTACTTCAACTTTGAATATGTCTTCACCTTTCAAACTTCTTTATGGTAGGGACCCTAATTACTCACCTTTTAGAAGTTTTGGATGTCATTGTTACCCTTACTTGAGAAACTATACAGATGATAAAATTTCTCTTAAATCACTTCTTTGTGCATTTATTGGGTATAGCCAAAATCATAAGGGTTATAAATGCCTGCATGTCCCTATAGGTAAAAGTTATATATCTAGACATGTTATTTTTTATGAACATATTTTCCTTTACATGACTATATTTTCAAGTGATTATATAACTCAAGGGGAGTTGATTGAACCTCGCTTTTGGTTAAATATCATAAATGAGGCTAGTCAAGAAAATCCTCTTACCACCTAGACACAACCTATTGATGCAAAAAATCTTGATCTCGCACTACCTACACCAACTTGTGATTAGGCTCCTTTAGCAAATGGCAATTAAAATGTAGAACCTCCCATAAATGATGGTTACAAGCCTAGTACACAAAGAGTAAGCCATTCAAACCCTTCAAATATTTCCAACTCAAGTTCTATTAATGTTATTTCTTCATCTAATCTTGATCCAGGGCATCATTTAGGCCTTAATACACATCTAATGAAGACACAAGGAAAAGCAAAGGCTAGACTTTTACACTATAGTGCTCCCCCTCATTCAATTTCTATTCCAAAGGAACCTCGAACACTTAAAACTACCCTTGTAGATTCGGGATGGTATGAAGCAATGAGGGAAGAGTTGAAAGCACTACAAAAGAACAACACTTGGACCTTGGTAGCTCAAATAGATTCAATGAATGTGATTAGATCTAAATAGCTTTTCAAAACTAAATTAAAAACAGATGGCACTTTAGAAAGGCTCAAAGCCAAGTTAGTGGCAAAAGGATCTAATTAACAACATGGTGTTGGTTATGAAGAATCTTTTAGCCCAATTGTCAAGCCCCAAACTATTTGAATGGTCCTCAGTATAGCCACTGCTAAAGGTTGGGTAATAAGACAGTTGAACGTTCAAAATGCCTTTTTGCATGGCTCATTGAATGAACCAATTTACATGGAGCAATTGCCTAAGTTCCATGCCTCAACCTATCCCACTCATGTTTGCCACCTTCATAAAGCCTTTTACGGCCTCAAGCAAGCTCTTCAAGCTTGGTTCAAATGGTTTAGTCATTATCTATTCCAACTTGGTTTCATTTGCAGCCAAAGTTATCATTCTTTAACATTCATCACACACAAGGAATAGTTTTCTTCTCCTATATGTTGATGACATCATTCTCATAGGGAGTTCCTCAACTCTTCCTTATACTCTTATAACTCGATTAGGAATTGAATTTGCAATGAAGGATTTAGGTGAACTTTCTTACTTTCTTGGTATTCAAGTGATCCATACTAATAATGGCTTATTTTTGTCTCAATAGAAATATGCAACTAAGCTATTAGAACGAGCAAATACGTAAGACTGCAAGCCAACTACTACACCAATTGTTACAAAATCCTTAGTCACCTCACGGGATGAACTATTCTCAAACTCATCTTTATTTCGAAGTTTAGTTGGAGCATTGTAATATCTAACAATAACTATGCTTGAGTTGTCATATGCGGTTAACTTGGTTTGCTAATTCATGCACTCACCCACAGTTAGACACTTCCAATTGGTGAAGTGAATCTTGCATTATGTTAAAGGCTGTGGATCAAGGTTTACATTTGCTCAAAGACAATAGTGTTGATTTGTATGGATTCTTTGATGCTAATAAGACAAGTTGTACATTAACTCGTCATTCGGTTACTGGGTATGCAATATTCTTGGGATCTGATTTAATATCATGGGGAGCAAAGAAGCAAAAAAGATTGTGCGCTCAAGTGCTAAGTGGAGTGCTGGGCCCTTGCTTCAACTACTGCTAAACTAACATGGTTCTCTTTTATGTTAAAGAACCTAGAAATTCGTCTTTGCCAACCAGTTATTCTATATTGTGACAACATTGGTGCACTTTACATGTCTTATAATCTAGTCTTCCATGCAAGAATCAAGCATGTTGAAATTGATTACATTTTGTGAGAGAAAAAGTACTACAAGGGTTTTTTATTACTTGATTTGTACGCTCGTTGAATCAATTAGCTGACATAATTACCAAAAGCTCCTCCTTACAACAGATTTCCAAGATTTACAAGCCAAGTTAAGTGTTCTTCCATTCTCACACCTTAGCTTGAGGGGGAGTAATAAGGCAACATATTCAAAGGCTATTTTGAGCAATCAAGACCATTGCAAAAAGGAAACAAATCAAATAGTCAAGGAAACAATCCAAGGCAACAGCTAGCACAATCAATGGCAAGACAAAATCTGGAAAGTTAAATATCAGCAATGGCTAGCACGGTTAATGGGATTGTAAATCTGTTTTTTGTGTTCTTCTTTACATATCCTTGTATATCATGCAATACATAACACTCTCAACATTGAGAGAGTGCAAGGAAATTCCATAAAAGTGTTTCTTAAACTGTTTTAGGGGGAATCCAATCAGATGGTTCTCAACTTGCACGATGTAGGTGCTTATAGGTTCTCATATTTGGAGATTGAGAGGGTTTGACAGGGATGGGTTTTGCTTAACAGGTTCTCAAATCTAGAGATTGAGAGGGTTTGCCAATGATGGGTTTCTATAGGTAAATGGTTGATACTACTATAAGCTAATTAAATTTATGAATTTTTATTGTTGCTTTTAAACTTAATTACTTTGAATTTTTTATGGCTTACTTATTTTGTTGCACTAATTGGTTGTTGAAAAACCTCATGAGATGGGAAGAAAATAAAGAGATGATGAAATTCTTTGTTGTCTAAATTTAAATATGCATTTTAGCTCAATTTCTAATTGAATTTCCAAGTTTTGGTTAGTTGATTGTAATGGAAAGAGAAATAAGATCTAGAGGATATAGCGTGAAAGGAAGAAGATGATGGCACATTTGTAATTTCATTATGATCTAAGAAATAAAGTTGAGTTTTTATATTTTTGGCCAAAAACAAGGTTGAGTTAATTGCGGGATGATGTGTATTTTTATTGCCAAACCCTCCACCTTACTGACTATGAGAGTATCAGTTCTTCAATTTACAATATAAAAGTTTTAACCCCTCATCTTTTCAACCTAAATGAAAAAACTCAAAATAAATAACGACATTGTATGCTTATTAATATTTCATTATCTATTACCATGTTAGCACCAATGTGGCAATTCTTTACCATCATGACTATTATTTTGTCAGAGATACAGTTTTCTATTTTTATTAGACCTGGTAAAATTAGATTTAATTAGAAAATTTGACTCGACTCATTCACTATGAGTAGGGTTTAAACCTCTAAAGTATCAATCTAGAAGTATATATAATTCGAACTAAAATTATCCAAACTTAACTGAGATGGGTTTGAATTGAGTCGAGTCAACTCAAAGTGATTCGACTAAAGTTAATTAATTTTTTTAATTTAAAATTTGATTTATTATACTTTTAATTTTAAAAACTTAAAAATTAAAATTAAATATTATAAAATAATTATGATTTATTAGATTATTAGTGTTAATATTAATTTAAAAGATTTTTAATTAAATAATTAATTAATGTTAAAATTTTTAAAGAAAAATAGAGAAAATATTAAAAAAAATTAATTTTTAAAAAGTTAGGTCTACTTGATTGAATTTGAGATTTGTATGGGTGAGTTATGGGTCTACTTCTTTAATCGAAATTCCAAAATGTCCAAATTCAATAAATCCAAAATGTAAGGTAACCCAATTTAAATCTATTTGATTCAACTTGTTTGCTAGATCTAACTTTCATTGTCCACAATAGCAATCCATGATGGCAAGAAATTGCCATGTTGGGGCTGACATGGCAATGACTAATGGAATTTTAATGAGTACATGACATTGCCATCCATTTTGGGTTTTGTCATTTAGACCAAAAAGATGAGGGGCTAAAACTTTCATATTGTAAATTAAGGGGCTGACTCTTTCATAGTTAGTAAGGTAGAGGGTTGGCTATAGATTTTCACCTATTTTTATTATACATTTATAGAAATAAAGTTGAGTTAGCTATGGGGCATTTGTGTAATTTCATTACATAGAAATAAATTTGAGTTAATTGTAAGGGCATTTGTGTAATTTCATTATACTTGCAAAAATAAAGTCAATTTAATTATGAAGGCAAATATATAATTTTATTTCGGGTTTGATGTCATAGTTTTTTTCTTTCAGAGGTGTAAATCTTCGAAAATCTTAGATGTCAAAATATTTTGACATGTATTCTACTCTCATTGAATAATGGCACGCTTTGGTTAAGTAACGAGACATATCGTGGGACTTTTAACAGAGGGACCATGTTATAGTTAAATTATCAAACTTTAGGGATTAAATTAATTGGTTTTAGTTGAGGGACTCATTTGGGGTTTGTATAAAAGTTGAGGGACTAATTTCAAGGTTTAAATTTTTTTAACGTTTGAATGGATTAAGGGATTTAGAGGGGAAGGAGAGGTGAGGGAAGGGAAGATACTTCTTTTTATATTTGAATTGTGCTTTTCAATACAAGGTGAGGGAGATGGGATAGAGATAAACCTTCTCTAGTCCTCTAATTTTTATCCTTTTAATTTGAAGGAATTATGATGGATTTTGTATAGGTATTTATTTATTTTTAATTTTTTTTAAAATAAATAAATAAAATTATTTTATTTTAATTATTTGTTTAATTAA